ATTTAGTTTAACTCTATCTGCGTCTTTCCTTCTTTAAAAAGGAAGAAAAAATTCTGGTTTTTTTTTTTACAAGTTTTTCAAATGGTCACCAACCATGAAATAAATTTAATTGAGTGGTTTTTTTTTTGTAATTTGTTATTTGTGTTTTGTGCTTGGAAAGTGGTAATGTTTATAATTTAGTTAATAAATGTTTCAAAATGTCTCCCCACAGTCACAGTGTACTTATTTCTCAGCCTGTGACACAGCAAGAAGGATGGGACACAGTGAGAGGGAAGCATGGCCCAGGCTGTGATCTGGCCAGGGATGCTTCTTCACCCAATTCACATCAGGAGAAAGTGATCAAATTGGGACTGTGGAACGTTCTGTGATTCTGAGAACAGTCAGACTGCAGAACAAACTAGGGAATCTTCTGGACTCTTCAAAATGTCATTATTGGGAAAGACAATAATGGGGAGGCAATGCTGAGGAGATAAAAGAGACCTGACAGCTACATGCCCCACAGAATCACTGATTGGATCCTGGATTGGAATAAGGATACAGTGGGTCTTAGGAGAATCAGGAAAACTTGAATAGCAACAGTGTGTTAAATAAGATTTTTGTCCCATAGAGTTACCAGCAGCCAAGCCAGGGAAACTGCCTGGGTCCTGGGGGACTGGACTCAACTGCCCACCTGCATAAGAAACAAGCAAACTATGTAAAAAGGAAAAATGAATTTGATGCAGTTTCGTCCAGTTGGAGAGAAGCAGCTAGATTGTTTCTCTGCCCGTTCTATAGAAGTGGTTATAATTTATAGAAACAAAAGGCAGGAGATACACATGTGTGGATTTAGCTAGCTGTGCTAGCCAGAAAATGTTGTCAGTTTCAGGTTTCTTCTTACCTGGAAGGGCTGGGGGTAGTTTCTCAGTTTCCATTTGCACCATAAGGAAGTTTGGGGTGTTGAAGAGCAGTTAATAGGAAGTTGCCTTTAATTTTAAAGGGCTCTGTTTCAATAGTAATATTTCTTAGGCATGAAATTGTTTGTGTGGGAGAAATGTCCATATATTTGGGAGATGCTTAAGGGTGAAATGTCGTGATGTCTGTAACTTACTTTCAAAAAAAAATGTGTGTGTGTGCATGTGTTTGCACACATGTGTAGGGAACAAACATGGCAAAATGTTCTTTGCCCTTTCCTATAGATTTATAAACCACTTAAAATAAAAAGTTGGCCTAAGTAGAAAATGCTACTTTATTGATCAATATGCTTATTAAATTAGAAAGCTATTGACAGATTGATTTCACTTTCATTATAAACTAAGATTTTTTGGGGAGGGGGCATGTATGTAATGTGTAGTGAGATAAGAAACTTATTTTGGATATAACTTTAAATTCATTCGCGTAGGCTTTTGTGCTTTCACTTATCCCATTGTTGATTTCATTTCAATTTAGCATGCATTCAGCACCTACCCTGAGAATACAGAAATGATTAAGGCCAAAAGATGTCGCAGTTTAGTGGATGAAAACAAATACGTGTCATAGGGATGACAGGTGCTCTGTAAGAAGGAGAATATAAAATTTACATGAAATAGATTTTCCTTTTTTGTTTTTCAGATGGGGTCTTACTATGTTGCCCCAGTTGATCTTGAACTCCTAGGCTCAGGTGATCCTCCTGCTTCAGCCTCCTGGGTAGCTGGAACTACAGGCATGTACCACTATGCCTGGCCTAGTATTGTTCCTTATTCATTTAAGTATGTTTTGTGATTATCTTATATTATTATTTATGGGCAACTAAATCAAATCTGCAAGTGGTTAAGTGATGTGCTTGTCCTCACACAGCCAGTAGGTGGCAGGGCAGGGATTACCTCCCCCCAGGAGTTGATTCTTACAATTTAGCTCAGGCACCAGGGGCAGAAAGTTGTGGGGGGGGGGTTCATCTCCATCTCTGTGTTTGGCAGCTGGTATCTGCCTCTTGAAGTCAGTTGCAGCTACACAGCCTTAATTTTTTTCATCCATTTATTTATACCATTTATGCAATCCCAGAAGACCCTGGAAAGAATAAATGATGAGTGGTCACAAGCTGTAATTTCAGAGGATTTAGAACATAGACCGGGTAGAGAAATAAAGATCAGATGGTACTGTCTTTTCTTACCTACTCACCTGAAAGTTTTTTGAAGTCAAAGTCACAGTCTATCTTTTATGATTATGAATCTCCTTATTAAAACATCATTTTAAAAACAACTTTGAATTTCTACCTAAATAACCATCCACAAAATTCAAGCTGTCTTTGGTTTGTTAGAAAAGCACACAGAAAGAGGTGTGCAACTCAGATATATGCCCCCTTATCTTTGACCCCCAAACATTATTGCTTTGAAAACGTACAACTTTGCCTTTCTCTCTAGAGCAACTCCACAGCCTGGTGCTTTCTAGTTTCATGAAGAGCCCTCCTTTATATCGGTAAATCTCAAGCATCATTCGTGTGCGCTTTGAAGTAGTCTCAGTGGCTAAAGAGTAAAAACTATAAGTACCTGATAGTAAGAAAGGCTCTTAACAGAAGGAGCTGTTTAGAAGCCATATAAGCAGGAAGAATAGATGGGTTCCTGTCTGTTGGTTTAACATGCCTGAACCAGGGAGAGAGCACTCTTCAGAGATCATTCACTCTGCCTCACGGCAACATTTTTTTAAAAAATGTTTTTAGTAGTGCATCATAGTTACATGTCATAGTGGGGTTCATTTTGACACAATCATACTGCATTGAATATAATTTACTCCATTTTGGTCTCCAGTACTTCCTTTTCTCCTTCCTCCCTCCCTCCCTCTGCTGCCCTTCCTCTCTCTACTGTCTGCCTTTTATTTATTTATTTTTAAACTGGTGTTTTATAGCTATACATAAGTTGAAGTTCACTGTGATATGTTCATATATGTACATGGGATAGTTTGGTCAATTTCATTCCACAGTTCCTCCCTTTTCCTGTCCCTCCTCCCTCCCCACCAATCTCCTTCTCTGCTCCATTGATTTTTCTTTTATTTTCATGGTGTCCCCCATTTTTCTTTATTTTGCTCTACTTCCACTTACGAGAGAAAACATTTGACCCTTGATTTTGCTTCTGTTTTATTTCACTTAGCATGATGTTCTTCATTTCCATTCATTTACCAGAAATATGCCATGATTTAATTTTTTTTTTTTTTTTTGGTACCAGGGATTAAACTCAGAGGCACTCGACCTCTGAGCCACATCCCCAACCCTAATTTTTGTATTTTTTTTTTTTTAGAGATAGGGTCTCACTGAGTTACTTAGTGCCTCACTTTTGCTAAGGCTGGCTTTGAACTTGCGATCCTCCTGTCTCAGCCTCCTGAGCCACTGGGATTACAGGCGTGGGCCACTGCACCCAGATAATTTAATTCTTTATAGTTGAGTAAAACTCCATTATATGTTTATAAAACATTTTCTTTATCCATTCATCTGTCGATGGGTACCTGGCTCTGAAGTAACTTGGCTCTGAAGAATTGTGCTGCTATAAACATTGATGTGTCTGCATTCCTATAGTATGTATTTTTGGATACCAAGGAGTGAGATAATTGGGTCCTATGGTGGTTTCATTCCTAGTCTTTAGAGGAATCAACATACTGCTTTCCAGAATGGTTGTACAAATTTGCAGGCCCACATACAATGTATGAGTGTACCTTTCCCTCCACATCCTGCCCAGCATTTATTATTTGTACTCTTGATGACTGCCATTCTAACTGGAGTGAGATGAAGTCTCAATGTAGTTTTGATTTGTATTTCACTGATTGCTAGGGATGTTAAATATTTTTTCATATATTTCTTCTTTTGAGAAATGTCTGTTTAATTCTTTGGCCCATTGATTGATTGGGATTTTTTATTTTGGGGTGTTAATCTTTTTGAGTTCTTTATGTATGCTGGTTATTTATTCCCTGTAGGAGGAGTAGCTGGTAACAATTTTTTTCACATTCTGTAGGCTCTCTTCTATTGTTCAGAAGCTTTTAAATTTGATGCTACCTTACTTATTGATTATCGCTTTTATTTCTTGAGCTTCAAGGGTCCTATTAAGGAAGTTGGTGCCTGTGCCAATTTGTTAGAGTATTGACCCGACGTTTCTTCTAGCAGTTGCTAAGTTAGTCTAATTCCTAATCTTTGATCCACTTTAAGTAGAGTTTTGTGAAGGGTGAGATATAAGAATCTAGTTTCATTCTTCTACTTATGGATATCCAATTTTCCCAGATATCCAAAACATACCTTAGAGAAAAGGCTATCTTTTCTCTAAGGTATGTTTTGGGCACTTTGTTGAAAGGTGACTGTATCTATGTGGGTTTGTCTCTCACAGCAACATTTTGAATATGCAAGTCTCAGAGGGGATTTGCTGTTGAGCCAGAGCCCTGGGTAAGAATTCACTGCAAGTTACACTGCAATGGTGGTGGTAAATAAAAACATACTGAGTGATGAGAGTTTTTACAAGGAGAAATTAATAAGGAGAAAAGCAATCAGGAAAAGAGGAGACCAGTGGAGATGGGGCAGGGGAGAAGAGGCTACCACCCCACTCAACAGCTGTGGCCTCAGATCTCTCCAACACCTGGACCTAGGGGTTATAAAACTCCTAGGAGAGGCTCTAGATTATACTATTGGCTCTTGGCCCTGGACTTCTTGCCATTGCTTGCCAGCAGACTTCTCTGATATGTAGACTTGAGGTATAGACTTGGTAGACTTGAAGATGCTGTGTTGGTTGGCTCAAGTTCAAAGGTATAATGGTTAAAGTGTGACAAAGATGGTGCTCCATGTGTATATTTGATGGAGAAAGATGATGATTTTGGTTTTGAACATGATAAGCTTGAGAAGTTATGCCCCGGTAGAGATGTCCAATAGGCAGTTAGAAAAAAAAAGATCTGTATCTTGGGACTGGGGTTGTGGCTGGATGTGTTACCTTAGGAATCAGCATCCTGTAGAAAAATGGTTGAAGCTGTGGACAGATGAGGAGACTTTAATAATGATATCTCTTTTGCTTTGTCAGCTCTTCCACGTGGCCTATATTTTAATCAAATTTGCAAATTCTCCTCGCCCTGATCTTTGGGTCTTGGAAAGGTCTGTAGACTTTGGAAACACCTACTCACCATGGCAGTATTTTGCTCGTAAGTAATGAGTGGCTTTAATTATTTGTAACCAATCAGGACTATGGATTTACTTAGAAAAATTAGTCTTGCAGTGTAGCTGGGTAGTGAATGGTCAATTTTAACCACTTAACTTATCCTCAGAATATCCGCATTTCTCAAGCATGTGTGTGTATGAATTCCAAGGATCCCACACACAGAGCTGACTTTTATGATACATAAAACTCCTTTTATGATAACAGTTCTTGTCACTACTTCAGGGGGTACTTATTACTGAGCCAAAGCAGCTCTTTCCTCTTTATATAGAACTAGCAACTAAGTTCCATCTTTAGGGATCTTGCATAGTGTATTATTTACCATCTCTTCAAGAATGTCAGTGTCTCTGGACCCTATGACAAATTGAGGTGGGCAGGAATTTTCCCTTCAAGAGCATGGGGTTTCCATGCAGCCTCCTTAGAGGATAAACTTGCCTTATGAAGCATGAAGCATGGGGAGTTAACACCACATCTCCAAACATTGCTCCTAAGAGTTGAGGGGCCTGAAATGGATTCGTAGTTTCTTTCATGAATTAAAAACTTCATTCTAAGCTTTCACCTAAAAGTCTAAGACTTCTCTAATTCTTTCTCTTTTCATGTATGTTCTTAAGGAAAAAAAAAACTTCTTAAGCAATTTACCAAAAAATGATAATATTTAATTTTATAATATTAAAATATTTTCTTCTTAGATTCTAAACGAGACTGTTTGGAACAATTTGGGCAGCAGGCAAATAAAGCTATCACCCGGGATGATGACGTACTCTGTATTACTGAATTTTCCCGCATTGTACCTTTGGAAAATGGTGAGGTAAGTAGATGTAGGAAGCTCTGAGAGGTGGGACTTAGAAATGAACATGAGGATGTCAAATATTTCATAATCATGAAAATTGTACTTTCAAGTAGATCTAATATAGATTAAAATGGAAACCAGTAAGTACTTCAGACTTGGTGATAAAGGAATCACATGAAGGACTCCCAGAATGAGTTGGGTTGGAAATTCTGTTTGGGGTCTTGAATTCTCCTGGGAAGTCAGGATTTGAGAATCAAGGCCCACAGGTCTTGAGCTTTTCTTTCTGGTAATATATGTAGAAAATGGGTCACTGGTAACTGGAGTAATGACCACTCCCACCTCTTCACACATTATCCCCACTATGAGTGAGGAGATGAAGGGTAAGGGGCAGTGCTAAGCCCTGACCCCTTTTGGCAGGGTGGACATCATCTATTGGGGAGAAAGAAATGCTGTCCCTTTAGAGTTTCATTTGGTTCTTTTGTGAAATCGGCCTGGCTGTTGTTAGGGGAGGCAGACAAACTGGTGGGGAAAATCAGAGACATCCATGGTTATGGTGAGGCCACAATGAAAATGAACTGAGTTACAAATTAACTTCCACTAAGAGTGTCATTCTTCCTCTTTGTTAAGTAGAGAGCTCTTACTTGAGCAGCTATATCCAATGTCTTCCACTTGGTGAGAAGTTTATGTTTTGAATGGTTGAGACATAGATTGCACCAGCTCAAGATTTAAAACAAAAACTAGGCTTTATACAGATTTTTTTTTTTTGGTCAGTTTTTCTAACCTCATTTAGACATTTAGATTACTTCAACCTTTATCCTCTTTGCTAGAGGTTGACAAAGTTATTACCTTATAATTGTAGACTTAACATTAAATCTTTAATATTTCAAAGTGTGACAGTCCTACAACTATGCTGATAGAACAAAGGGTTTGAAAATGCAGTGATAACATCTCTGGAGAGCCCAAGTGTCAAGGACATAGTGCCAGAAGTTGGAAGGAGGAAGAGGGAGGGAAGATGCAATTAGCAAAGATGCTCTTAGACATAAACAAGATCCAAGACTACCTACACACATCTCATGGGGCCAAACAACCAAATGCTTTGGAGTGTGTTGTTTTTAGTCACGTGCTGTTATACGTTGATGAAAGGACTTTCCTCTCCTTCATCTGTGTGGTTATTTTAGGTGGTGGTTTCCTTGATAAATGGTCGTCCAGGTGCAAAAAATTTTACTTTCTCCCACACCCTCCGGGAGTTCACTAAGGCAACAAACATCCGCTTGCGCTTTCTTCGAACCAACACCCTGCTTGGACATCTCATCTCCAAAGCACAACGGGATCCAACTGTCACTCGAAGGGTAGGTAATGTCTTGTAGGTGGCTACTTGGATGCTTTTGTTTTGTTACTTTTTGTTTGTTTATGAAATTAATTGCCTTAAACACTTTTAAGTAACCTTTAGAGCCAGTTATCATGTGGGCATGGGAGACGTTCTTGCCTGAAATCCTAGATATCATTAGGAGTTTGGCTGTTTGAAGAAAAATAGTTATATTCAAAGAAGATGAAAGGTCAAAGATTATAGTCAGTCTGGTGTTTGTCTGGGTGGGCTAACTACTATTATAATCAATACTCCCCAAATCCCAGAGGTGTGCCAAAGCACTGGTTTGTTTTTTGCTCATATTATAGACCAATATGGTGGCATTGGCCCTACGCAGTTGTTCAGGGCACCAGCTCTTCCTATCTAGAGGTAGAGCTATCCTGTAGGACCTCAGGGTCCTCCCCTGGATCCCTTGCCTCAGGGCAGCTGATAAGGGAAGAAAGGGCATAGAGAAGATTCACCTAGCTCATCTCCTAACTAGAGTCCTTTCCACTGGCAAGATCTGGTCATATAGCTCCATCTAGGTGTGAGGAGGCTGAGTAATATAATCTAAGTGGAGTAGAGAAGAACATAGATATCTGTGAGTACTGGTACTCGGCCATGTTGGATGTCCACCCTGAACATCTCTTGTCTTCAGGTGTCAGAATGGTACAGGAGCCAGCAGAATCACTCTTCTCCCAGTCTCTGGTCTCCCACAGGTGCCTCCTATTGGCCAAATCCAACAGGAAGCCAGAGAGCGAGAGATCCAATGATTGCAGCCCATAATATTCAGCTCCAGGGCAAAAGTCACCTGGAAAGGTGAATGTGAGATTCCCCGCACATCTTCTAAAGTTTGACTTTTTATGTTGGTAGAATCAATGACTGGAAAATGAAGAGAAGAAAAAAAAAAGTTTTGCTCCCATTTTGAGAATTTTCCAGAAAGGCCAGACATATTGGGTATAGGTGGCCTGGTCCACCTTTTGCATTTTCTGCTCTCTTTGCTCTCTGAACCCACTGTGCAGATGGGGACTATGCAGATGAGGACTGTATTCATCCAAGGATGAATATTTACAAAGGAGAGCTGGGATTTCTGGCTCCAGCTCACCAGTTTTTCCCCTCCATAAATTGTCTTTTACAAGGTTGCAAGATTTGCACTCTTACCTGTGTATATATTACTTTTCAATTAGGCAAACACAGGGTTTTCCCATTAAGTAATTTTTTATGGAGCATGCCAAGTATAGAATCTTGACACACCCATCACCCAGTGTAAGATGCTTCTGTAATGGAGACACACCATGCCAACTGTCCTATCACACAGTTCTGTGTGCTGTGGACTGAGTGCTTCCTCTCTTGCTGCTGCTGCCCTTAACACATGTGGAGAGAGAAACTTCTGTGGTGGTCAGCATAGCCTCTGGGGTTAGCTTGTCATGGAAAGCCCTGGTAACCCTGACTTTATCCAATGTTAACCACAGGGGGCTGTTAATGCCTTCACATGTAAGTCAGAGGTTACGAGTAAACTTTGACACCTGAACAGTTTTTAATTAGGGAACCAGAAGAGAACCCCTATATCAAATTACTAGGTATCCTTAAGACTACTACACTTAACAACAACAAAGATACAAAGATCCTCTTGTCCTTGTGAATTCAAAGACTTCCTCACTGACAGGTTATTTTCTCACTGGATGCAAGGTTCAATGAGAAAGATTGTTCCACGTGCCACACATTCCTCCCCAGTCCTGTGCTGTCTCCTGCCAAGTCTGGGGAGGAAGGAGCTGGCAGCAGGGACCAACTATTGTTGCTGGTGGCAAGGCCTCCAACATCCTGGAGAGGTACCTTGGCAATGAGGTGGCATATTTGCTTGGCCTAGTTTAGGGACCGATGCTCAGCTGAAGCTGGCTCTGCCTGGCCTTTGTGGAGCTTGAATCCCTCACTTTGACCAATTTGACCCTGAACTACCAAGACTCCAGCAGCTGCCAACAACTGCTGGCCCCCAGCAGCCTCGGGGCTGTGTCTGATCCATCTTTGTAAATACTGTCTTCCCTCCTGAAGCCTGGATGGTAGTTTTCACATAATAGGTGCAACAGTTTTGGATATAAAATTTGTTTTGGGGAGAGAAATGTGTTCATTATACAAAAATCCAGATTTATCAACAAACAAATAAACTTGGAACCACTTAATCTTTTCCAGTAGTCTATAAGGTATGATTCTTTTCAAAGACAATTTTCTTCCATGCATTTAAAGCACTTGATTTGTTTTTAAATGGACACATTCAGAAGAAGTTTTAAAGTTAAGAATGAGAAATGCATTCATTTGGTAAGACAAGTTATATACCAACGTGGCTTCTTTTTTGTGTGCCGAGGTAGGCTAGGAGAAGTGTGCAAGAGTAGTGGTAGAGCACTTGCCTGGCATGTGTGAGGCACTGGGTTCGATTCTCAGCACCACATATGTAAAAAAAGTAGATGTGTAACCGATGTGAATCTGCAATATGTATACGGGGTAAAAATGGGAGTTCATAATCTGCTTGAATCAAATGTATGAAATATGATATGTCAAGAGCTTTGTAATGTTTTGAACAACTAATAATAAAAAAAAGAATAAGCAATAAATAAATAAATAAATAAATAAAATAAAGCTCCATCAGCAACTAAAAAATGTTTAAGAAAAAGAGAAGTTGAACCAACACAGATATGGGATAAGTTTGGTAAGAAAACTCCATGTTTCTGTATAGTGAAACTGACCTATTCCATTTTCTGTACAGTATTATTACAGCATAAAGGATATCAGCATCGGTGGGCGGTGTGTTTGCAATGGCCACGCTGAAGTGTGCAATGCAAATAATCCTGAAAAACGGTAAGTACACTGGGTGGACTGTTTCTGCCATGAATGAGTCTAATTGTTCCAGTGGATGTTTGCATCCCATTAAATATTTCTAGATTCCTGCCCACAATAAGAATGTTTCAGGTTCAATAGCCCTCTACTTCCTTCCACAGACCACCACTGGGCCCATAGCAGATGTCACTAATCGATCTCAGTGCTCTCTGGATAATATGGGATGCAGCCACTAAATCCCCAAACCCAAGAAGCCATTAGTTTTCTGCCCCCTACCCCACTACAATTAGATTTTTTACATTCATTTGGTTTTTGGTTTCTGCCATGTTGGACACTTTCCATCTCAAGATGGAATAGGCAGAGAAAGCAAGAGCACACACTGGGCCCGGCTTACTGTGAACATACTCTCCATTCAGAAAATCTTGTATGACTGACATTAAGCAGGTGATGATTTAGTCCAATGGATTTCAGACCCATTCAAATTCTGCCTATGCCAAGGAGCTTAATGATGAAAATTTGGTTCTAAATCATCTCCCTTCTAAATATGTTTAAATAATCCTCCTTTCTAGTTCAAATTATATTAGAAAACATTGAGTTGAAATAAATGTCTTCTTTTGCGGGGAGTGAGGGAAGGTACCAAAAGGACTCATACCAAAAGTAATTAATGAGGGCTGATACCAAGAGTAACCTGGAGCAATAATGAATTTGAGTATTTATTTGAAAGACATTGTTCAAATATCTTAAATTTTATGGCCACTGTTTGACCACAGTGGTCACAGAAATCCAGTAATAATTGAAGTCCTCTAGAATGAGGGTTCTAGATACAGCCTGAGGAGCTCTATTGTTATTTTCATGGAATTTATCTTAGGACTTTCTCTTCTTCCTCTTCAGAAACAATTACCACTTTCATTTCCTGTCTTTTCCAAACTACTTTTTTTCCTCTGAAGACAATTTTTGTTGTTGTTGCTCTTTTATGCTACTTATGTAATTTGAGAGTGTAGTTGGATTCTAGTCAACAGTCTGTTTTTAATATGCAATCGTTTCTCCAGCCTTACAAGGGAAGGTTCACTGTGAACCATCCTGAACAGAGGTGATCCTGAATGCAAACCACAGGATTTAAGCTTCCTTTCATGACCTACCTGGTGCAGTTGGGCAAGCCATTAATAAATGATAAAGTTGACAAGAGAAGTAAGACTTCATTGTCACCTTGGGGTTACACATTTTCAAATTCTTTCTTTTTTAAATTATGCATTGCAAAATTTACCATTCTAAACCATCTTTAGGTGTTCCATTCAGTAGTGTTGAGTACATTCACAGTGTTGTTCAACCAATCTCTACAACTCTTTTCGTCTTGCAAAACTGAAACTTGGTGTCCATTTTCAGAACTACCCGTCTACCCTTCTGCCAGCTCTATTTTTGGTCTTATGGATTTGACTATGCTGGGTACCTCAAAGAAGTGGTATCATCTAGCATTTGTCTTTTTGTAACTGGTTTAGTTCGCTTCACATGTTTTTAAGTTCATCCATCTTGAGCATGTGTCAAAATTTCCTTTCCTTTTAAGGCCGAAATAATATCTATTTATATGTATAGACCACATTTTGTTTATCCATTCACCCATAACTGGACACCTAGATTGCTTCTATCTTTTGGCTATTGGGACTAAGTCTGCTGCCAATATACATGTGCCCTATTTTTGCTTTTAAAAAACTGAGGTATATTTTGCATACAATAGGATGCATTATTTTTTTGTCAGCTTTTTTGCTGCTGTGACCAAATGACTTGACATGAACAGTTTTAGAGCAGGTAAAGTTTATTGGGCATTCAGATTTTCAGAGGTCTCGGTCCATAGATGACTGACTCCATTGCTCTGTGCCTGAGATGAGGCAGGACATCATGGTAGAAAGGTGTAGAAGAGGGAGGCAGCTCAGGCCATGACAATCAGGAAGCAGAGAGAGACTCTGCTCACCAGGGACAAAATATATACTCCCAAAGGCATATCCCAGGGACCTAGCCACACTCTATTTGTCTACAGTTATCACCCAGTTAATCCTCATCAGTGGATTAACTCACTGATTAGGTTAAGACGGTCATAACCCAACCATTTCCCCTCTTACTATCTTTGTAGGATAAAAATTCACACATGAGCTTTTTGGTGTTACCTCTTATCTAAACCATAACATGCATAGATCTGAAATGTTAAATGGTCAGCAATTTTACCTATTTGTATTACCACCCCAAGAGGAATATCTGTAAAGACTGGCCATTAAGCTGGTTGCTGGGTATAGTAATAATTTTCTGTGTGTACAAGTCCCTGTGAGAGATGGATTTTACTTTTAGCCAGATCCAGGCTTATGTATCTTTAGGCCTCGCTTGGTGTTCGGGCAGAGTTGTCCACTACCAGCTTGTGTGGTGTGCTGGGTGGAGCCCTTCTTCCTGACCAGCTGCAGACCCTAATGTTGCCGTCCCTCCTTCAGGGATCAAGGGGTGCCATCTGAAAGGGCCCATCCACTCAACAACCAACAATTAATTAGCAAGGACCTGTTTGTTAATGACTAATCTATCTGCACCATGTAACCTCCTGGATAGGAGGGCCCCAGGACACTAGGAGCCAGAGCAGATAAGTTTTGAGTTGGGGAGAGAAAGGTTCATTTAGTATCTCTGGGACAAAATGGTGCCATGTGAGAAAGAACTAGAAGCCACCAGGGAGGGGCTGAGCTTCCTGTTTAGAAGAGCTGCCAAACCACATTGACCCGGCCAGACCTAGAGGCTTCTGACCCAGTGGTTAATGGCTCAAGTACCTCCCTGTGCCTTGGGGAAAGCTCAGTTCACCATCTGTCCACTCTGCCTTTTCTTTCTTTGCCTCCTGATTCACTTCTGCCCAAAGATTGACCTTGAACCAATGCTGATGGAAACCACACCCATGAATAGGAACATATCTTATGGTGTGTATAAAGAGACTCAATGACTTAGTGGAGGGAGCCAAGGCTGCATAATGGGTAAAGTTAGTTGCTAACCAGGCAGAAGGTGGCTTTAGCCAAGGATGTAGACTATGCTGACGTTATGCAGGGACAGGAAGAAGGATTACACATTCAATTCTGAGCATCCTAGCAGTCAACTAAACAAGGGAAACCTGCTCACGTTCCTATTTCACTATGATCACAATATAAAAAGCAATCCTTCACTTAAGAGAAGCATGATTGTAGATATTAGAACTAGATAATTTTCCTCTGGGGGTTGAGTAGAGAGATCATCATGAAACAGACTCTCTAGTCAATATCTTTTTTTAAAAGATTTTTTTATTTGTTTTGATTAGTTATACATGATAGTAGAATGTACTTTGATACATCATATATATAAAATGGAGTATAATTTCTCATTCTTCTGGTTATACCATGATGTAGAATACTCTGGTTATATAGTTATATATGTACATAGGGTAATAATGTCTAATTCATTTTACTATTCTTCCTATCCCCATACCCTCTCCCCTTCCTTCATCCCCCTCAACCTAAAGTAACTCTATTCTTCCTTAGCTCCACCTCCATTGCAAATTAGCATCCACATATCAGAGAGAACATTCTCCAGCTCCATCTATTTACCAGCAAATGCCATAATTTGATTCTTCTTTAAGGCTGAGTAATATTCCATCATATATATATATATATATATATATATCACATATTTTTTTATCCATTCATCTGTTGAAGGGCACCTGGGTTGGTTCCATAGTTTAGCCATTGTGAATTGAGCTGCTATAAACATTGATGTGGCTGCATCACTGTAATATGCTGATTTTAAGTCCTTTGGGTATAAACCAAGGAATGGGATAGCTGGGTCAAATGGTGGTTCCATTCCAAGTTTTCTGAGGAATCTCCATACCTCTTTCCATGATGGTTGCACCAATTTTCATTTCTACAAGCAATGTATGAGTGTACCTTTTCCCCACATCCTTGCCAACACTTATTGTTTTTGTATTCTTTTTTTGTTCTAATTAGTTATTTATGACAGCAGAATGCATTTTGATTCACTGTACACAGATGGAACACAACTTTTCATTTCTCTGGTTGTACACGAGGTAGCATTGCACCATATGTGCAGTCATACATGTACCTAGGGTAATGATGTCCATTTCATTCCACCATCTTGTCTATCTTCATGCTCCCCTGCCTCCCCGCTTGCTTTTCCTCCATTCTCCCCATGCCACATTCCCATTATGAATCTGCATCCACTTATCAGAGAGAACATTTGGCCTTTGGTTTGGGGATTGGCTTACTTTGTTTAGCATGATATTCTCCAACTCATCCATATACCTGTAAATGCCATAATTTTATTCTCTTTTAATGCTGAGTAATATTCCATTGTGTATATATACCACAGTTTCTTTATCCATTCATCTACTGAAGGGCATCCAGATTGATTCCACAGTTTAATCAACAACATCTTTAATAACAATTTTATAGCAGATGAAAGGACAATTTTTCCAAATAACCTTCTGCCTGGGCTGAGAGAGTAGTTAGGGGGTGCCATATAATGCAGACAGGTTCACAAGCCTTTCTTTCTTTGCTTTTTATATTTGCTGTGCTTAATTTCAATTTCCCTATGAGTATAGCTGGACCATATGTTCTTCAAGCAACTTTACTAAATATTTTTCAACCCAGCATATGTCAAGTGTTTCATTGGCAATGAGGTGAAATTTCCTCTCTGACAAGATCCCATTTGGACTCCAGCTGTTATATGCCACCAGTTAAATCTACATCTGTGGCTTTCAGGCTGTTGGGCAGAAAGAGGGATGACACTTCTGCTCTTAGGAGTATGGCTGAAGACACACCATCCCACCTGCCCAAGTCCTGTAGGGGAGTCCCCACAGACCTAGTCAAGAACCTTCTTAGGCAACTGTTTTGAATCTTCTTTCAAGTACAGATGAACGGGAGCTCAAAGCTTGGAGTTCTGATGCAAACCAAGGCTATGACCTTAGTTTGGATTGAAATTTAAGACAGATGTTAGATTTTTCAGATTTTTCTAGCTTCATCTCTTCTGAGTGATCTCAGCTCGTGGTCTTGAGATGAAGAGGGGACAGCCGGTGAGAGCAAAGGCCTTCAAGGTCTTTTTAGTAGGTGCTTCCTGGTCAGTAAATCTCTGTGCATGATCACAGGTTGAGAGTAAGAGACTCGAGTGGACTTCTCACAGGACTCCTTGGGATATTGGTGAAGATGTGATAATGCATCCCAGGAATCTCGGCACTTGCTTGCTCATTTGTCCATTTATTGTGCCATGATGTGATAGAGAAGAAAGAGTTGAGGCTTCAGAGTCAATTTTGGTTTGAAATCTGATTCTCCATGTATCGATGCTTGACCTTTGGCAAGCATCTTAATACCTCTGAATCTCAGTTTTATTATCTATAAAATGTAGATAACAAGCAGGTTATGGGGGGACTTGAAATAATGTATAAAGAATGCTTTGTTCTCCTAATTACTTAGAGAATGGCCCATGGATGACCCCACAGCTCTGTTCATGTTTTGCACACAGGAACAACTGACCTTAATCAAAACTTTGCAATAACTGAGATATGCTTTGCCCCCATGCCCAGGTTCCAGTGTGAATGCCAGCACCACACCTGTGGGGAGACCTGCAGTCACTGCTGTGTGGGCTACAATCAGAGGCGCTGGCAGCCGGCAATGTGGGAGCAGAACAATGAGTGTGAAGGTGGGTGTTGGGGTGGGACAGGGAAGCGATGTCCTGTACATGGTCTTCCTGTCCTACCAGAAAACTGATGCTGTGTTCTTTTTTCCCCCTGAGTTCCTGAAGAGGCTGGGATCATGTCCATTTTAGGGACTCAGGTCTGTTACTGCTTAATAGTCATCTCTTATCCTTGGGATAAATTCCAAGATCCCCTGAAACCAGGGATAGCATTGAACCCTATATGTACCATGTTTTTTTTTCATATATATATATATGCCTCTGATAAAGTTTAATTTATAAATTAGGCCCAGTAAGATATCAATAATAATAACTAGTAATAAAATAAAAGTTATAACTTACTGAATTCAAATCACTAGCATCACTACTATTGTGCTTTGGGGCTATTATTAAGTAAAATAAGTTACTGGAACACAAGCACTGTGATGCCAAGACAGTGGATCTGATAACCAAGACAGCTTCTATGTGACTAATGGGCTGGTAGCATATACAGTGTGGATCCTCTGTACAAGGGAATAATTCATGTCCCAGGCAGGATGGAGCCAGACAGCATGATATTTCATTCTATTACTTAGAATGGCATGCTATTTAAAACTTATGAATTGTTTATTTCTGGAATTTTTCATTTAATGTTTTCAAACCAAGTTTGACTGCAAGTAATCCAGACTGTGGAAAATGCAACTATAGATAATAGGTCACTCTATAATGAAAAACTCACAGACTTAAGGGAAAACTATCCTACTCTGAATTAAGGTAGAAATATGAGGAGACAAATTACAATAATAATAATCATTAATATGAATTATTATACTTTCATAAATGCCAAGATTGATCTGGCACCACTGAGAAAATGAAAATAAGAAAGTGTTCAGCCTATATAAACAGGGGAACTTGTGTAATTTCTAATTCTATCTTCTTCCCTAATATGTGTGTCTGGGAACTTGATAAAAACATTCAAATAATTAGAAAATTTGATCTGAGTGGAATTTAATGAAGATATATTCTAAATCTTGGCAATGATGAAAATCCTAAATGGAATTCTAACTACATTTTCTAATTATAGAAGTTTTATATATACTTCTTGTAGATATTTTGGAATTATTTAAAAGAAGAAGAAGGAAGAGGAGGAGGAGGAGAAAAATCACCAAGAGCCGGGGGCAGTGGTACACATCTGTAATCCCAGTGGCTCAGAGACTGAGGCGGGAGGATCACAAGTTCAAAGCCAGCCTTAGCAATTTAGTGATCTAATTTACTTCCCAGGAATCCCAAATTTGACATATAAGACTTTGGGAGACATTCCAGACCCAAACCATAGCAAGATCCAAGTTAGCAAGACCCTGTCTCAAAATAAAAAATAAAAAAGGCCTGGGATATGGCTCAGTGGTTCAGTGTCCTGGGTTCAATGCCTGGTACAAAAAAAAAAAAATCAGTAACAGTACTAATCTCTGTGTATGAAGCTTAATTGGCATTTTGATATTTCGATGCATCTTAATTTGTTACAAGTACATATCTTAATTTTTAAAAGAGAAACCTCTCATTTAATATCAAATGGAAGCAGCTATAAATTTCATAATAGTCTATTACTGGTCTGTGTGTAAAAATCCCCAAAATTCTCCACTGTTTCCCTAGTGTTCCAGGATAGACTTTATTATACTCCAATGAGCACTGATACTTTGTGGGAATTTCTTAGTCGTCGTATAGTAATGATGGAATACTGACCTAGTGGGGCTGTTTTTCAGCCTGCAACTGTCACGGCCATGCCATCGACTGTTACTATGACCCAGAAGTTGAGCAGCAGCAAGCAAGCTTGAATACCCAAGGCATCTATGCAGGTGGCGGGGTCTGCATCGACTGCCAGGTAAAGGCACTCTCTAAATCAAAGTGGGTGTGTCATGGTTGCGAACCAGCATTTGGTAAGTTCTGATCCCCAAAAGATGTCAAGAAACTGATATGCAGTCAGAAGTATTTCCTAAGATTCTTTCTCCACTTTTGGCCACAAAAGACCTTACTTTTACACATCTTTGGATAAACATGCACAGAAAATGCATGTTTACCTAAAAGTATGTTTACCCAATATTGATTGGGGTTCTGTATTTCAATTTAGTATGGACCATGGATTTAAAGAAAAGCAAAATCTTAAAAACTTCAAAGGAAAATACAAGAGAATATCTTTGTGATTCAGAGGATGAACAGAGTTTTCTAAGGTCACAGAAAGCAGGAAACATGAAAAATGAACAACTTGGATTTCATTAAAATTAAAACTTTTGCTCACAAAAGACACTATTAAGAAAATGAATAGGCAAGCCACAGGGAGGGAGAAAATACTCACAAAACATAATCTGACAAATGGTTTATATATAAAGAACTCCTACACCTTAGTTATAAAAAAAACAAATAACCTCCAAAATATGTAAAAGATTTAAACAACCTTTTCACTCAAGTAGGCATATGCATAGCCAATTAAAGGGCTGAAAATCATTAGTCTTCAGAGAGATGCAAATCAAAATTACAATAGCATACTTCTGCATATGCACCTTGATGGCAATTTTTTTGGGGGAGGGGCTTACCGGGGATTGAACTCAGGGGCACTCAACCACTGAGCCACATCCCCAGCCTGTTTTGTATTTTATTAGAGACAAGGTCAGTGCCTCACTGTTATTGAGGCTGGCTTTGAACTCTCAATCCTCCTGCCTTGGTCTCCAGAGCTGCTGGGATTACAGGTGTGCACTACTGTGCCCGGCTAGGATGGCAATTCTTAACAAGGCTAATAACACCAATTTTTGGTGGAATGTGCCTTTTATGCAGTGCTGATGTGAATGAAAAATGGTACAAGTCTTTGGGGGAAGGTTCTACCGATTGTTTTACAAGACTGAACACACACCTCTCCCCTGACAAATTCTGCTCCTAAGCATTTATCTATAAGAAATAAAAATGTTTGTTTACACATAGTTGATAACTGCTTCATGCAACTACCCGCCTCCTGCCCCCACTGGAAATAGCCTACCTGTTCATCAACAGTAGAATGGATGAACATATTCTAGCATATTTGTGCAATGGGACACTAAGGATTCATAGAGAAGAACAAACTTCTGATGCATGCAGCCACAGGTAAGAATCTTAGAAACACTGAGTGAAGGTCAACTTACTAAAAAGAGTACATATAGTGTGAGTATCCTTCAAATGAAAATTTTAAACACAAATTAATCAAGAGTGGAAAAGTGAGATTTGTATTTGAGGAGAGGGTGATGGAGGTTGACTGAGAAGGGACATGGGGAACTTTCTGGGATGATTGTTCTATGCCTAGATAAGGAACAGAGTTTCACATTTGTGTGCCTTCTAATTTGATGAATGAACATGAAGATCTTTGTGCTTATTGTATATGTTTCACACCAAAAGCCAGAAAGTATAAGCAAGGTAATTATACTGGGAAAGTGACTGGTATTTGTAACTTACTCTGAAATGCATAAAATACGATGGATTAGTGGATGAAGAGAGGAGTAGGTAGATGGAGAATTAAGTGATAAGGCAAGTACAGTACAATAGTAATGGCACACTTCCGAGGGGAGGTGTTTAAGTGTCCCCTGTAAAACTGGACATTTTTCCATAATAAAATGTTGAGGGAAAAGAGAATGAAAGAAGACCGGAAGCACATTTTAAAATTGACTTCTTGATTTCTTTCTCTTTAGTGAAACTTTGATGTATTTAACAGAGATTGAAGAATACTAATGTTGTTTGAAATGATGCTGGAAGATATTTTATCTTCATTAACTGAAACAAAGCTTAACCTCTTTGGTAGACACCACTTTTTATCTAAGTCTTAAGCTTACTCCCCAGTTGTTTGTGTCCTTGATGTATTTGATCTCACTATTTTTTTCTTTTTTATATACCTTTATTTTATTTATTTATTCTTATGTGGTGCTGAGGATTGAATCCAGGGCCTTGCATGTGCTAGGTGAGCACGCTACTACTGAGCTACAATCCTAACCCTTGGTCTCACTATTTACAAACTGTTTGTCTCCTTCACACACAAACTCCACATGAAACCAAGAGTTGGGCTCCATAGAGCACACGGAGCACAGCTGGCTATGTTCCCTCCTGCAAGGAGCCCTACAACATGTTGGAAAAGATTCTAAAAAAATACACCCTCCTTTTAGAATCCATAAAAGCATGAACATTAGAAAAGAGTGTCATCAACAGATCAGGAATTTCATGAGATTCCAAAAAGTTAGAAAGCAAAAACACATACTTGCAGGGATACATAGCTGGGAATGCTAGAATAACTTAGAGGGAATCCTAAAGATGACAGAAAAAATTGATTGTGGAGCAATAGTCAAACCGATCAAACATTACTGAAGTTCATAAAAGACGACCTTGATGGAGAGGCATGATGTGTTTCCAGACACTTAATACTATATATATACCATTTCTGTGAAACCAATCTATAAACTCAGTGTTATCACAGTAAGAATTCCAACCGAACTTTTATGAAGGTTGATAGACTGATTCTAAAGTTCTTATTGATCAAAGAATATATTAGAATAGTTTAGAAAAGATAAACAATTATGGGGAAATTAGTCTTCTGAGATGTTCAAAATATCATGAATCTGTATTAAGTATGACTCAATGCGGGAATAACTATTCCAATAAAACCTAATAGAAAATCTGGAAACAAATTCATGTAGATATTTATCTAAGATGAAATGGCAGTTTTAATGGAAAGGAAAGATAAACATTATAAAAATGTTCTTGGGGCAGTTGGTTCTCATTTGGGGGCAAATTTAACTTTGTATTATGCACATACAGAGAGACTTGGGAGCCTTGACTGGGTATGGAGAAGGAGAGGGGTGCAGCTGGGCCAACTGACTTGGTGAACTCCGAGGTGACCAAGTTTGGTCATGTTTACAGTGGCACAATTCACAGGAGCCAAGTTACGGAACTAGCCAAGGGGTCTGTAAACAGATGAATGAATAAAGAAAATTGTGTGTGTGTGTGTCTTCCTGTTGTGTCTTATCGTAGAGAAAAATACACACAAATACACAGACACACACAATGGAGTTTTATTCATTCATAAAGCAGAATGAAACTATGTCACTTGTGAAGTGGATGAACTGGGGAGTGTGATGTTAGGAGAAATAAGTTAAACTCAGAAAGTAAAGAGTGAGATGAGATGGGTGGGCCAAAGGAGGAGGTAGGTGGGGGATGGGCTTCCTGCCTCCAGAGATTCCATCTTCACCTACTCCACTCTTCATCTTGGAGAGTTGAGATTTTTCTCACCTTACGTTGTCATGCAAATTACATTTCAAGCATCCACTCTTTCCAGCAAGGCCCCCCCCCCAGAACCTCCAATTTGGAAATTATGAAGTTACCCCTGTCCTTGGTTCTTGAGCTTACCTTGGTCTAACTAGGACCATGGTGTTCACGTATACATTGGTGTATCTGATCCTTGGGCCTTGAAGGTCCTAGACAACCACCCAAGATTTTAAGCAAACTCTAGACATTCTTCCATCTGCAAACTCTAGGCATATTTCTTTCTCTCTTAATCTTTTATTATTATTCTTTGTGTCTTAAAAATGTAACTTCTCCACGGCAGATGCTCTGTGGTAGAGGGGAAAGCTTGGACTGCCCACCTCAGACAACACTTTCTCATTTTCTACTCCAATTGGAAAAAATTTGGCAGCCAAGCTTAACCAATGTTCTCTACGATAAGTCACAACAGGAAGCAACAGAACGGAGGGTTAATTGGCATTTGATGGGAAGAGAGGGTGGGCTGCAGCTGCTTCTTATTTGCCCATGATGTTTGTGCTTTTAAATGTTAAGCCAGAGAAGTGGCCAGCATGGGTTTTGACCTCAGCATTAAAGTGAATTCAGATTTTAGCCCACAGGACAAGGAGTAGTAATAAATAAAAGTCTGTAGTTAATAAAATCCTCTGAAACAGGGGAGAGAATAGAGAATGGGTCTTTGTTCTTCCCGCTGTGTTTCTATGCAGACGTTTGTGTGTGTCAAAGTTTGTTATATTTGTTCCTGTTAATTTTCTATTGCCATTCCTTTCATTAATGAAAGAACACCGTCTTCTTAATCATTTCCAAATTAGAAGCAAAATTGAGCTAGACCCATGGTGTATAGTTCTTGGAAACTGATGATGCATGTTGGGTAATTTGATTTTGTGGCAATTATAAGGATGAACCACAAGCTAGAAAAAGCCGCCTGGTATTATACTTCAAAATAAGATCTGTGCATGAGACCCATGCCTACATTTTCCACATCATAGAAAGGCCTGGGAAATAGTTTCATGACTAAAGCACGGATAAAATTAGAATGACTAGAAACAGAGGTCTGTATGTATATGCTATTTTTTCCAAAAATGGGAAAAGGTATAAATGAACACACTTTTATTCTTTCGGTTAAACCTAAAGGTGGTTTATTATCCATTCATCAGTTCTTCTGAATGAAGCCATGGGGCTAGTCCTTGAGGTTTTTTTCTCACTCAAATGTTGAGTGCTTCATTAAAGCAAATGATTTTTTTAGAGGGGAAAGGTTTGTTTGTCCGGTTCATGGAACTTTCCTCATTTCCTTTTCCACTGGGGAAAAAAACTATTATTATTATTATTATTATTATTATTATTATTATTATTATTATTACTTTTAGAGCCAAGATTAAATCAAAGTGCTTTGGCAAATCTCAGAGACCCAAGATCAAGATCAATGCTTATGTTTTTAGTGACTTTGAAATTTCAATTGAATATGACAGAATTATTTCTCTTGATAAATAGCACAAAATCAAGAGTACTGGGCTTTTCTAGTATCTTTTCTTCTAAGTTTCTTTGGTTTCTTTCTAGCACAACACGGCTGGGGTGAACTGTGAAAAGTGTGCCAAGGGTTATTACCGCCCTTATGGGGTTCCAGTCGATGCCCCCCATGGCTGCATCCGTAAGTTTTATTTCAACTCTGTGTATCTTGGCCTGTGTAGACTGCTGCAAGGAAGTGGTCAGACTCGGTTCTGATGGGTTGACAATCTTCCTTCCCTCTCTCTTCATTTTATTGCTTCTACTCCTTTCCGGCAGTTACATAATCACTTCAAGCCCTGGAACTGATAGTATATTTTGTAAGATTAAGTAAAATGGTATTAAAAGTACTTAGGAAAATATTTAACATCTAGCCTGTCACCCTAGGCCTGCAATAAATGTTAGTGTCTCCATTTTATTTTCTTTTTTTGTACCAAGGATTGAACCCAGAATTGCTTAACCACTGAGCAAAATCCCCAGCCCCTTATATCTTTTATTTTGAGATAGGATCTTGCTAAGTTGTTTAGGGCCTAGCTAAGTTGCTGAGACTGGTCTTGAACTTGCGATTCTCCTGACTCAGCCTCCCAAGCTGCTGGGATTACAGGGATGCACCACTGCACCCAGCAGTCCCTCCATTTTTGACATATTTCTATGATCTCCAGGAATTTCAACTTTTGTCAGAAATTAACATCAAAACAACATAGCAGTGATGTCATAAGAATTTAATAAATAGTCATAGTATTTAAAATTTCTGCGACTCATGTGGCACTTGCTGTACACAAGGCACCACCTAAATACTGTGCTGAGGTCTTATTTAATTATTATAACAAACTTAGGACATTGTGTCATTATTCTCATTTTTAGATATGAGGAAACCAAGCGATCTGGGTAGTTGAATATTTTGGTCTGGGTGACCCAGCCACTGACTGATAGATCCAGCATGTGGTTCATTTCTGTCTGGCACAACTATGCCACGACACTTTTATTATACAGAAGAATGATGCTAGTTTTTCCTTGTGGAATTATTGGTTTTAGGTCAGATTATGGACTTTGCCCTGTAGGCACAACCTATAGCCTATTTGACACTGTTCTTTTACATTGTCTAGTTGTCACAGTGGAGAACCCAATTCCAGTCCTGAAGTTGGTCTCTGTGCCTACCCACACTACCAAATAAATTCAGTATATCATGAGCATTTGAGGACATTAAAGTCCAAAGAAAAGTCTTTGTTTCTCTCTAGGGCTTTCTTATGTGGGGACAAGTACATGGAGTACTGCATACATGGCATACGTTAAGGGTATCTGAGTGGCAGGCCACTCCCCTCGTGCTAGGCTCAAGAGCAGTAGGCCACTTACCCCATAGGCACAGCCCTGGTCATGAGGCCATGTGTTACAGTGCCTGCACTTGCTCCATGGCCCACTCCTCAATTGGTCGCTGCAAGGACGGTTAGCAGAAATTGCATTGGTGGCTGCCTGTAATCTGCTTAGCTACTGCCTGAGTATATATACGTGGTAACTGCGCAATAAAATCAGACCTGCTTCCTGCTTGGTCTCCGGAGGTCTTAATTAGCAACTCTGCAGCCACACTCTCCTCTACACTGTGCCATGGACCTTCTCGTTGGATGAGAGAGAGCCCACACATTCTTAGTTGTAAAACAAAAGTATTTATGCTTTCCTTCCTTCTTCCCTGTGTCCTGAAAAGCATGTCCATCTTTTGTCTTATGACCACAAAGAACAGGCATCACAAAGGAAAACAGGACATTGTGAATGTAATTGCATTAGGAACCTCACTCTTAAAAACCACTATCCTAGATTTTTTCAAAGTCACCATTGAAGTGGTATTAGAAGCTTACTATAAAGGACTTACAGGACACATCTGTCATAAATAAATCAGGAAAAGGACATCAGGACATGGACTCAGATGAGCTATGACAGTATTTTTTTTCTGGGTCCAGTGTAACAACCTGCTGGATAAAGGGAAGCCCCAAGCAGTGGATTGTATCAAACTTCTTATTCTCCCTTTGAAATGCAAGCCTACTAATCATCTTTGTTAGCAAACTCTGCCTTCAGCATGCCATATCACTCCATCTAACACTAGAGATTATTATGGGCATCATCTTGTGGCCACACACTATCTATCCATGTCTAGGCACCTACACTTGTGTGCACATCACAACTGGGTACTGATGGCCACTTTGTGGATATTCATGGTTGGCTTACTGTGCCCAACAGACCTGCCAGAACCCACAGAACAGCCCACCCAGCAAGTCCCCCTGATTGTGGTGTGTGCAGGCTTTGCCCCTTGCTCAGTGACCTGGGCAATGCTCAGTGGAATAACTGAATTCTTGAGATCTTCTCAGTCTAGGTGCTCATGACAGCTGTTCTCAGATGGACCATGAGGTTCAGTCAATGATAACCACCAAAGAGGTCTGAAGTAGGAAATAGATTGTGCCCTTTCAAGGGTAACTCTAGACCACATGTGAAACATTGCTGGGAGCTATCGAGACATGCTTGCGATATGAAGTGCAGTGAAGGACTGATCCTCTGGAAACTGTTATTTCTCTTAGCTTGCAGCTGTAACCCTGAGCATGCAGATGACTGTGAGCAGGGCTCAGGCCACTGTCATTGCAAACCAAATTTCCATGGAGACTACTGTGAGAAGTGTGCCGCTGGTTACTATAACTTCCCATTTTGCTTGAGTGAGTACAGGAGAGGCCAGCCTTTCTGGCCCATTGCTGGCCTTTGTGCAGTAACACCTGTGGGTAGGTGGGATGGGGCGGGGAGAGGGACAGAAATGGAGCCAGGTAGATTGTATTTATGTGAAAGTGTTCCCCAAGGTTTGGAACATAAGCTTTATAATTCTAGTCCTATTTAACTCTAAGATATTACAATATACCAACAGACACAGCCATTTCAGTAGGTCAAATATTGGGAACTTCAACTTAGTAGTAATCCCTGTATATGACTTTTCTTGTTAAATCTAGAAGATATGTCCTGAGCTTCCAGATGTATGTTTGCATATAGTATGTGTCATATTTTGGGATCCAGGGAGTTGTAGTTCCTCTTTACTGCTATAGGACAGGCCATTTATTAGGACACCTACCTCCACCCTGCAGCTTCTTTATGAGAAAAGACATCAGAAATTCTGTAGACCATGAAGAAGAGGAGTATGAAATGGGCTATGCAAACTGTGACAGAGTATCCGTTCTGTTTGTTTGCAACAGTATAAAATCTGCATTTTTCAGTTTGAACAAAGAAACACTATCTCAAGAAGAGCCCCCACCCCCACACCATTGGTTGTAACTCCATCCCTGTGACCCCTGTGGATCTGACACAGGAAAAGTTTACTGAAGCATGGGGCAGGACACATAAAGGAAGTGACTCTAGGTTTCAGTTAACACCTGCTGTCCCAGGACACTTATTAAAATAGCACCCACTTTCACTGTGGAGGTTATCCTAGTTTGGATGATAAAATATATTTAAAAGAAGCAAAGTCTTAAGTCTAAATACGATGGTCCCACATCAGGAGCTCATCAATTTACAATCTGATTATTGAATAGAAGCAGGGCAGAAATTTCCCTGGTCTTTAATGGAAAGAAAAAAGGGAGAAGGAGAAATCTGATTCACTTTTATAGTCTAAACAAAATTCCAGGGGGAGAAATTTGAAAGAAAACATTAAAAAAAAAGCTAGTCTCAATGTTACATTAAAATAACCACTGAAAAAAAAGAAAAGAAAAGCCACACTTGTCCCTGTTTAGTCTGAGACTGAGCTATTATGAGCACAAAACATCTATCTCTGTTCTTTAATCTACAAATCAGAATGTCTGATTAGGGAAGTTTCAGTCACCAGGCACATGTAAACTAGAGCAGTATCGCCTTTCTTCAAATTCATTTCTATGTGTTACTTTCAGTAAGTGAGACAGGGCTTCTTCCTACTTAGCACAATTTAATGTTTTACTTTACTATCCCCTTAATCATTCTTTATGTATTTTTATAGGAATCCCTGCTTCTCCTGTTTCTACTCCAAGTCTAGAAGATCCAGAAGCTGGAAATATAGAAGGCAAGTAACCTCTCCTTTGATTTAACATCAATAAAAATGGTATGCTTTATTGTCTTTTCCATCTTCCTCTGCACTCCACCAAGCCCAAGTTCAGGTCAGGGACTTGTCCTAATTGACCTGCTCCCTACCTACCACTCCCTACTGCATCCTGTCTTTGGCTGTGGCACTGCCTGATTGAGGAAACTGAACAGGGCTTGAATTAGATATTACTAGCTTGCTCAAAATGCTGCTGTGGCAGCCAGTTGTCTATACTTGTTTGGGTTCTCCAAAAGCAGATCCTGACAAGGGAATTGAGTGTAAGTCGTTTATTTTGGGAGATGATCCCAGGAAATACTAGGAAGGGTGTAGGTCAGGGAGTGGAGGGAGCCATTGTAAAGGTGCATTAGCCAGCAAGGGTAGTGGTGGCACCTGGAGTGGCATCCCTCTAAACAACTCCAGGAGACAAAGTGCTACCTCCTCAGGTCAATCCCTGTGAAGCAGTCTGCAGCCAGTAGGGGCCTGCCTTGGGCACTTAGAGAAGGCCTGCAGGAAGGCTGGGGAGCCTCTACAGCTAGGAAAAAGCCCCTAGTCTGAGAGTAGCAGGAATGTACAGTAGAGAGATGAGGACCCAGAAATTGTGGTGCTATATCTACCTGATTACTTGTTCTGCAAGTATTTTGAGATGCCCAACATTGTGCAAAGCATCAATTTGGCTGCTGGGGATTTAACAGTAAAAAGGAAAAAAAATTCCAGTTCTCCTGGAGTGAATACACACACACACACACACACACACACGGGATTGGAATCAAGGGTGCTGTTTTTTCTTGTTTTTAGTACTGGCAATTGAACCCAGCGGCACTTCGCCACTGAGCCACATCCCCATCCATTTTTTGTATTTTATTAGAGACAGGATCTTGCTGAGTTGCTTAGGGCCATGCTAAGGCTGACTTTGAACTCATGATATTCCTGCCTCAGCCTCCCAAGTCACTGGGATTATAGGCATGTGTCATTGTGCCCTGCAAGGATGCTGTGTTTTTTGTTTTTGTTTGTTTGTTTTTTTTTTTTGAAACAGGGTCTCACTGAGTTGCCTATGGCCTTACTAAGTTGCTGAGGCTGGCCTTAAACTTGTGATCCTCCTACCTCAACTTTCTGAGTCATTGGGATTATAGGCATGTACCACAGTGCCATATATATATATATATATATATATATATATATATATATATATTTCCATAGTATAACCACTATGGAAAGCAGTGTGGAGATTCCTCGAAAGACTAAAAATGGAACCACCATCTGGACCCAGCGATCCCACTTCTTGGTATTTACCCCAAAGAACTAAAATCAACACACTATAGTGATACATGCATTCCAGTGTTTACAGCAGTGCAATTCACGTTAGCCAAGTTAGGGAACCAGACTAGGTGCCTGTTAACAGATGAATGAATAAGAAAATGTGGTGTATACACACAATGAAGTTCTACTCAGGCATAGGAACGAAATTATGTCATTTCCCAGTAAATGGATGAAACTGGAGAATATCATGTTAAGTGAAATAAGCCAGACTCAGGATGTAAAAGTTCAATTTTTTCTCTCATATGAAAAAACTAGAAGTGTGTGGGGGGGAGGGAATTAAAAGAAGGGGAGGGTGTCATGAAAATAGAAGGAGGAACTGCAGAGAAGAGGAAGGGGATTGATGGAGAGGGAGGAGAGGAAGGTAAGGGGAGGTACTTGGGAATGAAATGAAGCATGTATGACTCTATCACAATGAATTCCACTTTATGTATAATTATAACACACCAATAAAAACACAAATTGAAGGGAAATCAGTAAAATTAGGAAAGGGACCAGGTAGAAGGAGGCAAAGAGTAAAGGGGAAAACACTGGGAAATGGAATAGAACAAATTATGTAATGTGCATGTTTCAACATGTCACAATGAACCCCACTATTACATATAATTATAGTGTCCTAATAAAACATAATTAAAAAGTAAAAGGAAGAAGTTTCCCTTTATTGAGATGGAAAAACTGAAAAAAGAGAAGGCGGATTGCATGGACTAAGGGAGGGACAGACAGGTGTGTCTGTAGAAACTCTCCTGTGTTGTTCCTCTCTCAGAAATAAGGTCAAGGGCGAGGAGTAAGGATGAGACTGAGGACTTGGGGTGGAGGAGGGAGAAGGTGTGAGAGTCATCCTGGAGTGAGGGGACATAAATGGGCTTGGGAAATGTCATAGGGTTGTTGGGTGGCACTCAAGTGAGGATTCACAGGAGCTCTGTTATAATGTGAGTCTGGGCCAAATGTAGTGGTGGATGTTCATAATTTTAGTAACTCGAGAGGCTGAGGAAGGAGGATTGCAAGTTTGAGGTCAGCCTCAGCAACTTAAAGAAATTTTCAGCAACTTAAATCCTTAACAATTTGGCAAGACCTCATCTCTAAATTTAAAAATAAAATAAGATAAAAAGAGACTGGGAATGTAGCTCAGTGGTAGAGCACCTGTGGGTTCAATTCCCAGTAGGAAAAAAATATTGAGTTCCCTTTACTTTCCTCCTCTTATTCCTTAGTTCTTACCCTACCCATAACCGACTGCTCTGATCATACCGTGGGGCTATGTGTTATTGACGGGGTGCTGCCTTACGCTGTCCATATGCCATCAGGAGACACCTGCTGAGCACTTCCGGACAGCAGCTATGCTTGACTTGGTTTGTAATTCCTGGCAGTACAGACAGACTTGGGTATCCTGCCCACGGTGGGAATCAGCACACGTTTCCTTCAGTGTTTGTAAATTGACTAGAATGGAATTTAGTGTTTGAGCCTTGATTACAACACACACCCCTGGTTTTCTTCCACAAGAATGTTGTAGGTGTCCTTTTTATTGTCTATTTACAGTACTCCCACTGTTATTCAGTTTCTTCCTTTTCCCAAGTAGACTGGCAGTGACTTCAGGAAAAGAAATTTCAGTGAACTTGAAGGGAGATTTGGATGTTTATTTAAAAATAATAGGGGAGCCTTGGAATACAGCCTGGAGGAAGAGAAGCTTCAGTTAGTGCAATCAGGTCCTGTGGGAATTTGAACACTCATACCCACTTCAGCATCGTCTTCTATTAATTCATTAAGAAAACATGCATTTGTGGACCTAACTTCTGGCAATGAATATCAGAGGCACAAATTTGTAAACTGCCAGGAGATGCATAGCACTGGGTAATACTGGGCACCCCCTCCACTCCTGAGAATTTTAATTCTTTAAGGCCCATTGAAGATTTTATGTCCTGGAACATCATGGCTTTTAAGCAGGATCTGTTTTAGAATGCTTTGCTTTTCAAAATATAAATTCCTGTCTGTCACCTGAGATCTTAATCTAAATTTCCAGGAGTGAAGCCCAGGCTTGTATTTTGAGCACAGTTTCCAGATGATTCGGATGCCTGCTTCTTTTTAATAACTGCTGCTCTAGTTAGCAGAAATTCCCATTTTAGTGGTCAGCAAGCTTCAGCATGAAAGGTCAGATAGTAAAGATTTTTGGCTTTGTGGGCCTTATAGATTCTGTCTCGAGGTCCCCAGCTGCTCAACCACAGGCAACATACAAATGAATGAGCTTGGCTGTGTGCCAATAAAACTTTATTTACTAAAACAAGGACAGATTTGGCCCTTGGGCCAAAATATACAGATCCCAGGATTACATCAGAATCTCTGGGTGTGGAATTCCATACCCAGGCAGTGGTATTTTATCAGGAAATTCTAATGAGCAATCAAGATTGAGACTACTGTTGTAGTAACTTCGTCCTCCACATCCATGGATTCTGTGTCTGCAGATTAACCAACTGCAGATTGAAAATATTTTTAAAGTGTCTGTACCAAACAATGTACAAATTGTTTTCTTATCATTATTCCTTAAGTGGTACAGTATAGCAAATATTTATACAGCATTTACATTGCATTAGATATTTAAAATAATCTAGAGAGGATTTGAAATACACGGAAGGATGTGATAGGTTATTTTAAACACTACAGATACTTGTCATTGTGTATAAGGGACTAGCACATCTTCAGATTCTGGTATCCTCAGATGGTGTGTTATGGTTTGGATGTAAGGCATTCTCCAAAAGCTCACGTGTGAGACAATGCAAGGTTTGGAGGAGAAATGATTGGGTTATAGCCTTAGCCTAATCAGTGAATTAATCCCTGATGGGATTAAGTGAGTGTAACTGGAGGCAGGTGGGGTGTGGCTGGAGGAAGTGGTTCATTGTGGGGACATGACTATGGGGTATATATTTTGTATCTGGAGAGTGGAGTTTTTCTCTCTCTGCTTCCTGATCATTATATGTGAGCTGCTTCCCTCTGCCACACTCTTCCGCCATGATGTTCAGCCTCTCCTAGAGCCCCTGGGGAGCGGAGCTGGCTGTTTATTGATTGAGACCTCTTAAACCGTGAACCTAAATAAACCTTTCCTCCTTTACAGTTAGTCTGGTAAGATCCTTTAGTCACAGCAGCTTCCTAAAACATGGTGGATCTAATCCCAGCCATGAGTAGCTGAAACAAATGAGGAGGTCAGTTTTGCAGATAGGAATGTGTTCAGATAGCTCACTATATTTCATGACTTTGTATATTATTAGAATTTTCCAGAACAAATGATCAGTTATTTCCATCTCAGAGTTATTCTTAGGAAGTCAACCTATAGTATCTTCAAGGGTTCCTTTTGGAATTAACAAAAAGAATGGGTGCCCAAAGCATACTCTCTAGAGGGACCCTAACCTATGGGTTTGTGTACACTCTTCTCTTCCCAGTCCAAAGAGCAGTGGTAAGCACAGCCAGTGGTGGTGATAGAATGACCGGGTGCTCCTTTGTCAAGGAAATTGAGGCAAACGGGGCTGATCATATGAACAGTGTGTTCGGCCTAAAGACACGGCTGCCCAGTTTGATTATTGAATGAAGTTTCTTCATAAAGATCTTAAAAAGGTTTGGATTCCCCCATTCACTTTGTAAGGATGAGCTGTTGCCATCACCAAAGTTCTGAGGTCAGAGTGGTTGGGGTTAAGGGGTGTGCTAAACAAGGGAAACCCCAAAGAGCTTGGGGCGATGATCTCTGGGGCCTGTTCTCCTGGCTATGCCTTCCCCAGGCTGGGCATCTCTCTGCCCAACAGAGAGGGGATGTCACTCTTGGCTTGGAGACCTGCCAGATAAGGCTTAAGAGATGGATAAACTAATCTTGAGAGCTCAGTTTGGAAGCTTTTCCACTAAAATGGAATTTTACGGAGGAGAATTGCAGAATTAACTATTTAGTGTAGTCTTCATTTATTACACTTTGATAAAGGCCTGCTCTGTACTAGGCCCAACCAGGCGGCTCCCTGCTATGCAGTCCCTGCTCCTCGGTAGCTCCCAGGGGGAGACATAGACAGGTAGACAGAAGAGCAGGAGCTAAGAGCAGTACTGGGAAGAACAGGAAGCTGTGGGCATGCAGGAGAGGTAGCTGGGCAGCCATATGGTGGAAGGAATGGAGGGAGAGAAGGGAGCAAGCTTCTCCAGAGCAGGAGAAGAATTCTGAGCTGTTTCTTGGAGCACAAAAAGCCATTAGCCAGGCAGAGAGGCAGAGAGGCAGGGAAGAGAAGGCACAGGGATAGGAGAGGGGGTGGCAGGCTGAATTGTGGGAAGCTGGGACAAGTTCAAGGGGAAGGACATCTATGGGATTAGGAAACGACCTGGGTGAGCTGCCAGGCTCAGATATGCGGGCTTGCGAGGCACAGCTGTGCCGTGTCTAAGGGATGCCATCACTTCTGAAAATGTTGCAGATTTGCATATTTATAATGATGGTTTCATTGTGGTGACAGGAAGACATTCTTTTTCTAATGTGCATGAAGAGGCTACATGGGCTGCCTGGAAGATTTGAAAGGAGCTACTGTGTCACACATGTGAAGAACTTTGGATTGGGTCTTGAGGCATTGGGTCGCCTTAGAGGGTCTTAAAACTGGGAAGTGATTTGGAAAGTTTCATGGGTTTGAAAGGTCACTCTTGACACACCACGAAGAATGAATTAAAAGGCTGAGATAGGAGGCAGTCGGCCTCCTTAGGAGGATCTCAAAATAACCCAGGCAAACAAGGTTGAGGTCCTGAACTCTGGCAGGAGAGGAAAATTCAAGGGACTGTCCTGAGATGGGATCCCTGAGACTTAGTGATGAGATATGTGAAGTTCTTTGTGATTCGGTTATAAATCAAGATTCTTGGAACCTCAGCGCCAAGGTCAAGTCCAGATTTCTCACAGAATCCCTAAGCTTGGTTTAACACCAGACTGATTCATGGTAAAATGTCCCCATTCCTTGTGGCATTCTCAGCTGACAGGGATAGGTGTTGTGACCTTGCATGGTTGCTGTGAGGGACAGCTCATGCCAGCCTGGGTCCAAGGCTTCTCTTGTTATGAATGTGTCCTGGTCATTTCTATAAGACAATGACCCTCTCTTCCTCTTTGTTTTGTTATTAATCTTTTATCTGAAAGGTTAAAAGTTTAGGGCAAAGGAAAAGAGGAGGGATTTAGCTAACTTTTTACCTTATCTATTATTTTAACCTTTATAGAAAATCTTTCGAAAACACGTCAAACTCCCTCCCTTGATAAACAGGCTGAACACAAATATTTGAGCCTCTCCTGATGCTACTCAGGAGTGCATGTTGCACATTTAAATGCTAATGTCATTGATAGGAATCTGACTGTTGTCAATATGAGATTGGCTTAAATACATATAACAATCTAGGATGTATCCTGAAAGTTGCTTTTAAAATTATCCATTTGTGACAGGCACAGTGGCACACGCCTGTAATTCCAGGGACTCTGGAGGCTGAGTCAGGAGGATTGCAAATTGGAGGTCATTTGGGTAATTTAGCAAGACCCTGTCTCAGAATAAAAAATTAAAAGGGCTGGGCATGGTGGTGCATGCCTGTAATCTCAGCAGCTCAAGAGGCTGGGGAGGAGGATTGCCAAGTTCAAGGCCAGTCTTGGCAATTTATCGAGGCTCTAAACAACTTGATAAGACTCAAGTCTCAAAAAATAAAAAGGGCTGGGGATGCTGCTCAGTGGTAGAGCGTCCCTGGGTTAAATCCCAGGTACTGAAAGGAAAGCCCTTTTCTTTTCTTTCTTTCTTTTTCTTTTTTTTTGGTACTGGAGATTTAAGTTGCTGAGGCTGGCCTTATAATCCTCCGGTCCCAGCCTCTCCAAGTGGGATTACATGTGTGATAGTCATGCCTGGGAACAGGCCTGTTTTTGAGAAATATTTATTTATTGAGACATACTATGCAACGGGACTAGGGTCCATGGCACCAGGCTGGGTCTCTCCCATGGCAGTGTCAGGATGCCCAGAAGGTGAGAATGGAAACTCCAAGGTATGTGGTGACCTACGATCAGAAATCACAGGATAGAACTTTTGCCTCATTCTTTCGGCCAAAGAAAGCCACAAGTCAATCAGTGATTTCCAAAGCCAAAGTGTTATAAAAGGCGAACATAAAAAAAAAAATGGGGGGGGGGAGGCTGATTATATATACAGACAGCTCAGGGAGACCTTCTGAGGAGTTGACATACGAACTGACACTTGAGAGGTGACAAAGAGCCATTGTGTCAAGAGGAAGGGAAGGGGCATGCCAGGCAGAGGGAATAGCCTGAGCAAAGGTCCTGAGGCAGGAAAGTGCTTGAATGGGACACTGAAGAAGTGTGGCTGCTACAAGGGCCTTGTGTCTGGAGCACTAAGTGAGACCGTCCGTGGGAAGCCTCCGAAGCCACATCTGACACAGAATAGGAATTGGAAGGTGGAAGGTATATGCATGTTTAATCCCAGATTGCCATTATATGAGAATCTATTAAATTGGTATCTCTGACTTTTTCTGAGTATTTATTTCCCTTTAAGATGTTGTCTTCTGGATTAAGAATGTTTATAAGCCATAGATTATTCATAACCTGTGTTTCCACAACAGAAGTCTGGAGGAAGGGAGAAATTAGCCAAGGAAGGGAGGTGGGTGGCCCCCTCTGAACATCTCTTGTCCTTTGCAGGGTGTGACTGTAACTTGGAAGGTGTTCTCCCTGAAATATGCGATGACCTCGGAAGGTGTCTGTGCCATCCAGGGGTTGAGGGCCCCCGGTGTGACACCTGCCGCTCTGGTTCCTACTCGTTCCCTATTTGCCAAGGTGAGTGGGCAGGACCCAGTGTATTCCTCAGTCCTCCAAACGAGATTCCCTCCTGAGAAAAGTCGGAGTTTCTTTCTGGCAGAGTTGCGTGACCTGCACTTTAATAACTGAGCCCCTGGCTGACCTAGGAATGTTCCCTGGGCCTGTCCTGCTGGGACCTTGTCACCTCCCCGCTCTTGTCTTTCCAATGCTACTCTTGCTCCTCGCTCTGTGGCTAAGTGCTATGGATTCAGGTTCTGGTTCTGGGGAGGAAGTGGTGTCTGAACAGGGTCTGGGAACCTGTCAGGTAGGTGGGAGAAGGAAATGGGGCATTCCAGGGAGAAGGCCTAGAATACGCAGACTGCAGGCATGGCAGACCGTAAACCCCTTCCCCACGCATTTTGTACCCTTGTGGATCCTCCCTAGTAAGAGTCACTGGGGGCGGGGTGGAAGGAGGAGGTGTCTGGCCTGGCCATTAGAGCATAACAGGTGTGCAGCAAATGTGTGGATGAACCAAGGAAAGGATGAATTTGCCCATTTCTCTCCTGCCTCCTCCTCTCCATCTGCCACTTGCTTCCCCTGATGGCCAGTGTTGAAGGGAAGGATAGAGAAAGAAGAGAAGAGCATCAGTCAGGGCTCAGGGTGCCGCAGTCCGGCTGCAGCAAACCCGGGGGGTGACGAGCAACTTGTGTAGATTGATACAGCAGGAGTAGGAGCTGTTTATTGTAGGACAACAGAGGTATTTATACATTTTGCACAGCTTATCTTAATTAGCATAAACTAGATACATCAGTCAACCAATAAGGAATCTCCACACTTAATGGCTCGATGGCGTTACTTCACAAACCACTCCCTCTGGCATTTTGCCAGGCACCATACAGACTTGTTTACGAACTCTAACATTCCCCTGGCAAAATGCCAGGTGTTATTTTGACTTGTTTACAGACTCTAACATCAGGGCAGGAGAATGACATTGTGGCATTTGCCAGTAAATGGACGGAACTTGAGACCATCATGCTAAGTGAAATAAGCCAATTCCAAAAAACCAAAGGCCGAATGTTCCCTCTGATATACTCCAGGTATTATGAACTGAAAGGGACTTCCTGTAGGTAAGAGGTCACTAAACTGAGTCACTGAGACTGGAGTAGTCAGCTGTAGGCTGGACTCCTTGGGAGATCTCAGGGAAATGGTCAGGACTGTTGAGGCACCATACAAAGGTTAGGAAGCTACCAGAATCCTGGGCAAAGGCCTTGACCCCAGAGGGGAGGTGGATACCAACAGGGCCAGCCCTGCTGCTCACCCTGAATAGAAAATCAAACAGAGAAAGAGGCCATGAAGCGGGAAGGAGCCTTTATTCTCAGGGTAGCACTGGGAAGGCAGATCTCGGGGCTGACTTTGGTGTGTCAGCAATAGCTTTGTGGGTAATAGGGAAGAGCGGAGGGGGTGTGCAGAGGTGGCCATCTTGGTGAGGTCATGATCTGGTTGATCATTATCCTGGAACTGGTCATGCGGTATCTTATTGGAAATAAGGAAGGTGCCTGGGCTCAGGGGGAAGTTTTGGTTTTTGTCACTAGATGTTTATCTATTGGGTTCATGATCCTGGAATTTAAGATAAGCCAAAGGAAAGAATAACTCAGAAAAGAACAAGTCAGAGGGAGCCAGACAACATGGAGTTAGTTATGTTTATGATCAGGCCCTGCTTTGGGAAGGGCTGCTGCTGCCTCCACAGCCATCTCTCTCTCTCTCTCTCTCTCTCTCTCTCAAATATTTTTTGAGTTGTAGATGGATACAATACCTTTATTTTATTTATTTATTGCTTTTGTGGTGCTGAGGATCAAACCCAGGGCCTCACATGTGCTAGGCAAGCGCTCTACCACTGAGCCACAACCCCAGCCCCCCACCCCAGATCTTTTTATTTGTTCTTTTTAGATATACACGACAGTAGAGAATATTTTGACACATTCTACATACACGGAATATAACTTTCCATTTTTGTGGTTGTACATGATGTGGAGTTACACTGTATTCATATATGAACATAGGAAAGTGATGTCCGATTCATTCTACTGTCTTTCCCAATCCCATTCTCCCTCCCTTCCCTTCATTCCCCTTTGTCTAATCCAGTGGATTTCTATTCTTCCTTCCTTTCCCCTTTATTGTGTGTTACCATCCGTGTATCAGAGAGAACATTTGGCCTTTGGTTTTTTGGGATTGTCTTATTTCACTTAGCATAAGAATCTCCAGTTCCATACATTTACTGGCAAATGCCATAATGTCATTTATCTTTAAGGCTGAGTAATATTCCATTCTGGATATATACTACATTTTCTTGAAGCGCACCTAGGTTGGTTCCACAGTTTAGCTCTTATGAGTTGAGCTGTTATGAACATCAATATGTAGCTGCATCACTGTAGTATGCTGATTTTAAGTCCTTTGGGTATAAACTGTGGAGTGGGATAACTGGGTCAAGAAGTGGTTGCATTCCAAGGAATCTCCATACTATTTTCTAAGGAATCTCCATACTATTTTCCAAAGTGATTACATCACTTTGCAGTCCTACCAGCAATTTCTTGGTACTCAGGAAATCAGAGACAGGGTATAGCAACAGACATGTTCACAAGCAGCAGGAAGGCGGCCTCCTTCTTACTTCCCATTTTTTAATTTATTAAAACATTTTTTTTTGCAGTGTGGCAAGCATGTATACTACGCAAACACTCTTTCACTGAGCTCTACCCAGTCCTTATGCAAATATTTCTAATTTTCAAAATTCAATTAGCATTCAGAGCCCAACCCCAGGAAAAATCTGTGGAGTGCTGCTTTTAGCTTTCCAGCCTCTGAACACAGGAGAAGGGTAGAATAGGTAACAGGCTCTCTCATTGGCTAGATCAGCCACACTGTGGATGAATGGGGGACAGAGCAGGAAAAGCCCTCCCCTAAGCAGCAGGACCAAGTTGTGATGAGCAAGGGTCACACTAGCCATCAACTTGGGCAAGTTATCTGACACCTCTGTTCCTCAGTTCCTAATACTAGTGCCCACCTCATAACAATGTTGTGAGGGTCACATATGTACTGACATGCAAAGCTCTCAGAATCTAGGAAGTCCTCATGCATATGTTGTTATTATTCTTTTACCAGCTGCTGCTCCCATTGCCCCACTACATCCTTTTCACAGTACTGATCCCAGATCCCAGTTCATCTCTCTCTTGCTTCTGTCTGAATGCCATACTCTAGACCCTTCCTTCCTATCCTGGTCCCCTGGGATGCCCATTTCATGGGCCTCTCTCCTTTGCCCTCATTTCTCTGGAGCCACAGGAGATCTCAGCCATCCTTACCCAGATGTTGGGTCACCCGGAAGGTGGGGAGATGGTAAGGGAAGGAAGAGGGTATCTTTTCTCTCTCTGTCTTGACACTGCACAGAACTGCAGTGTTGGAAACTAAAATTCCCAGGGCATCTCCTGTGGAAACATCAGCCTGGGTCATGCTCACGTTAGAATTGTTTGAATTATGCTACAGGGGGACGCTGTACCAAACTGGCTCTAGGTTCTGAATTAGTAATTGTCCTAGTCCATATTATTTCTGTGGAAAGATATCCCAAGTAATGAAGTTGGGGACGGCTTGCATTGCAAGCACTGAGAGTCCCATGGACAAAATGAAGACCTAACAAGAAGGAAGTGGGGAAGCCTTCCCTTTCAGATGTCCACTGCAGGCCAACCTTAAAGGGACTTATGTTTGGAGCAGGCAAGATTATGAGTAGTGAATACCAGCTTTATTTGATGAAAGCAGAGGGGAGGGGGAGGGGTGGAGGAGGCAGCTCATTTCTTTTTCCTCTATCAAATATTAACAATGAGTCTTTCACAGGTAAGATGCTTTCTATTTTTTCTTTCCAATTATATCTTAAATGTAAACTCTTTGGGGACAAGGAGCAGATAAGAATATCTCATGTTAACTTTGTACATAATCTGCTGCATTCATATTATTCTTATTTAGCTGCCATCTTTTTAGCAAAAGCAAAATGTTCTGTGAATATTTCCTCAGGAGTTTTTATTTTTCCTCCTCTGTGCTAGCCACTGTTCCAGACTCATCTGGTAGAAAGAATTACAAATATTCCAACTAAGTCATTCACACGGGCAAGGCAGTTAGACTGTATTGTCATGTGTATGGATACAAAGGGAAACGATAATACAACATTTTAAGAATGCTTTTTTCCATGTTTCTTCACCACCAAAACTAATTAATTATAAGGCAGGTAGAAAATACTAGGGTAGATTCAAGATAAAGCAGAAGCGAGGTGGGATTTCCAGAATGAAACTCAGTGGGTACTTTCTTCAGCAAAACAAAAAATTAACTGGTAAAGGTGTTTTTTAGAAATCATTTTAAGTCTCCATAAGTCGTCCTAAGAGCATATGGCAAATGAAGAAAAATACTGAAAACTGAATATTAGAACAGCAATAACCTGTGCCATTTGAGCCATGGCCCACTCCATTACTCACCTGCCCCACCCCAACTCCATTCTGGAGAAGCTCCAGGGCATATGTGGCCAAGAAGATGGGGACCATCTTTCCCCAGTCTTCATTTGGGGCTGTGGTTTCATTCTGGGAGGCCTGGGCTGCTGATGTTGCTTATCCCTGTGCAGAAGTTGTATTCCAGGTAGGCTCAGCAGAGAGAGCCAGGTCTCTTTCTTCCCTACCAACCTCCATCCCCTTGTAGGCTCTGGAGGCTGAGAATACTGAGGTGCCAATCACTCCCATCCCAGCTGGCTCAGAGAGTGAAGGTTCCATGCTGGGAAGGTCAAGCTGAGAAATCAGTTACACCACCAGGAGCTGCCACCTCTTCCGGTGCCCACTTGTAGAAGAGAGATGTCATTCCTCTCACCTCCAACTCCGAGGGACAGTGATTCTACCCAGAAACAAAGATAGGTCAGAAGGACAAAGAGCTCTGCAGATTTGACTGAGGGAACTGATTATTTTAAACACGGCTGAGAACTTCATACCCAAGGGTGTTATAGAAAATAATGAAGATCT